CCAGGGATTGAACTCAAGCCCTTGTGCTTGCCAGGCAAGAGCTTATTCTACTGAGCTATCTCCCGGGCCCCTATATTTCTAATAGTTAAAACAATGCCTGGGATATACTAAGATTAGGGAATTACTAAATATATTTTGCATGAATGAATCAAAGCATTCAAACTTACTACATTACTACATGTAATGTCCTAAATCTCTTGTTCAAGAATCATTTTATTTTATTTTATTTTTTTAAAGGGAAAGGGGCTTTATTATAAAGAGAAAGGGGCTTCGTTATCTTGGAGGACACAGAGAGAATTTGGGAAGATAAGGAATTCTCTTCAAGAATCATTTTAATAAAGTTTTTTTGTGTGTGAATGTGTGTGTGTGAGTATATATTTGTATGTATGATACTGGGGATCAAACTTGGGACCTTGTGCTTTCCAGGAAGGTGCTTATGCCACTGAACTATATCCCTGGCCCTTAATAACACTTTTAGCTTAAGGAAAAATTAGAGTTGGCTGACATTCTGTCCTATTCATTTTCAGCGTCCATACCTGATTGTTGGGCTTGGTAGATAAGCATTTTCCAAAGTAAAGAGTTTCTGTAACACAAAGGCTGTTACATGCTGGCCCATCAATGACTCCAGTCTTGTACTTGTCACACTAAAAAGCAAGAAATAAAGAAGTAGTTAATAAAAATGTTCATAAGAAGATACATCTAGCGAAGACAAAGTTCTCTCATGGGAAGATCTCTGGCTTTGGCTTTACAAGATCTTGATTTGAATCTAAGCTCTGATTCTAGCTTGCTATATGTGTAAGGTTCACTGCTCCCAGGATGCGCACAGTATTCTGAAATGACTTTTCCCATTTAATACAGTCTTTAAGAACAGAGGCATACCTTTCCCCTTTGTGTTACTGTAGTCTGAACCCAAGGCCTTTGCATAGAGCTACACTCTTGGCCCTCCTTAAAAAAAATTTTTTTTTAATTTTTATTTATTTATTTATTTATTTAGTATGTGTGTGGCCAGTTCAGCCCACCAGGGGGCGGGGCTGGCTGGCATGTGGTGCTGGGGGATTGAACCGCGGTCCCTATGATTTTGCTTAGCTTAGCTTGTTCTAAGTAGGTGCTTTAGACCACTGAGCCATCTCACCAGCCCCCTCCTTAAAATTTTAAGAGGGTCTCCTAAATTGCTACATTGCCCAGGTGAGGTTTGAACTTGTGATCCTTCCACCTCAGCCTGGGATTACAAACTGTGTTGGGATTACAGGGGAGCACTGCAACACCCACCTGAGGCACTCTTTAAAACAAAAATCATTCTGATTTTAAATACATTTAAAAGTTTAAAATAACACAATAATTTAAAACAACAAAACAAAGCAATATCTGTTAGTATTTTCATCCTTGAGATCACACAAAGGCAAGAAAAAGAGAAAGCAAATGTAAATTCTCTTTGATAAATAAGTATCATTTAACCATAGGCATAATACATAAGGGTTGCCTACCAAATTCAATGAAGAGGGGCTGGGGAGATGGCTCAGTGGAATAAGCGCTTCCCTGGCAAGTGCAATGGCCTGAGTTCAATCCCCGGTTCCACAAAAAAAACAACAAATTCAATGAAGATTACTCCAGAATCCAGGAGGCTGAGATCAAGTCGCTGCTGTGGCCTCTGTTCTCAATGTTAGCAGGGCACCAAGTAGGAGAGAACCTGAGGAACAGAGCCAGCCCCTTGGCCTACACTGAGGGCTTCAGGGACACAAACTATAGGAATTTCCCGACTTTATGTGGCATCGTGAAACAGTGGGACAAGCCGGCTGACTGATGAGGTAAGAATGATACATCCATTAAAATGTTATATTTGTTGGAGGCATTTTATTGACAAATTAGAGTTAGAATAGTATGCTAGAACCTAAGCCAATCTGTATCTCTGTCTCTCTACCTCACCTTTTCCTTTCTCACACAACACAGGCTCTCTCTCTCTCTCTCTCTCTCTCTCTCTCTCTCTCTCTCTCTCTCTTTCTCTCCCCCTCCCCTTCCCCCTCCCCCTTAGAATTGCAGGCAGCTCCACAAGGGCTAGTTGCTTCACGCACATGTGCAAATAGGTAGCCGAGGAAGACTCTTTTGACATAGGAATGAGTAATAGCTGTTGTAGTAGACCTTTGTAATCCCAGCACTGGGGAGGCTAAGGCAGGATGAGTTTAAGCCCAGCCTTAACTGCATAGCAAGAATGTGCCTCCAAAACCAAACCACAACAAAATACTGGAATGAGTAATAATCAAAAGAATACAAACAAGAAACCTAGACAGGGCTGGGGAGATGGCTCAGTGGATTAAGTGCTTCCCTGGCAAGCGCAAGGGCCTGAGTTCAATCCTTGGTTCTGCCAAGAAACAACAACAACAACAACAACAACAACAACAACAACAACAACAACAATCTAGACAGTAAATCTATAAGAATCAGGAATGCTGGGCACATTAGTACCTGCCTATAATCCTAGCTACTCAGGAGGGTGAGGCAGAAGGATGGTAATTTCAAAGCCAGCCTGGGAAACTTAGTGAGACCCTGACTCAAATCTATTTATTTATTTATTTTTTGAGACAGTCTTACTATGCAGTTCAGGCTAGCCCCCAACTATGGTGATCCTCCTGCCTCAGCCTGCTGAGTGCTGGGGTTGCAGGCCTGTACCATCACGCCCAGCCCCAGACAAAGAGAAATTTCAAAACAAAGTAGAAGAGACTGGGGAGGTTGCTTAGTACCCCAGGGGCTTCCATCTTCCATACTGAGAGAGGAAAGGAAGGAAGGAGGAAACAAAAAGTATAAAGACAAGAGTTAAGAGTGTAAATGTTGGGCTGGGGCGATAGCTCAGCGGTAAAGCACCTGCCTAACCAGTGCAAGGACCGAGCTTGGATCCCGGTACTGCATTTTGTGCTGGCCCAGAGCCCGGGTGCGCTGTGCTGGCCACCAAGACCGGGTGTGGGGGTGCACACCTGCAATTCCAGTGCTGGGGAGGCTGAGACGAGAGGGTCACTACAAGTCTAAGCGCGTAGCAAGACCCTGTTCCAAATAAATAAATAAAAGATTTTAAAAAAATTTTTAAAAGAGTGCAAATGTTAAAGAAATTTTCTAGAAAAAAATGTTGCCAAATGTTGCCATGAAGCAGACTGAACATATTGTGTGAGTAAAATGAATTCACTGAAACAGTTTAAAATAAGACCTCAAGGCAGAAGAAGTGTTGCAGCAACAGAGAGAAACGTATGACAAGCGAAGGGAATTCAGAAAGGAAGAAGAGAAAAACTTAGAAATAAAAATAACATTGTCTATGGTGAAGGGAAGGTAGGACAAAAAAGGATAAAAATACAGTATGGCTTATGAGGACTAGATTGAGGAGAGTGAGAAAAATTAAATGGAAATTAAAGGACAAAAAGAAATTTGTGATAAATTTATAGACAAAAGATATCCAGTATGTCTACCTAAGGGACACTAGGAATAAGTGGAAAAGAGAGAATGTTCAAAGTAGAATTTAAAAATTAAATCAATAACCCAAAATCTTTTGCCCCAAAGAAAGCCTGCCTGGGAGGACAACCTAGCACAGAGTACCCTTTATAAGAGTGGAAAGTGGAGCACAATGCAAATGACCATGAGCAGGACAATGATTGTGATAAAATACTATGTGGTCACTAAAATGAAAGAAGTAGGCCCATACATATCAACAGGGGAATTTTTTTTTAAATGTATTTGGTACAGGGTTTCTTACTACACAGCTCACACTCACAGTGATCCTATTTTCAGCCTTCCCAGCTCTGGGATTGTAAGTGTGCACCACCACACCCAGTCCTGGCGGATGGCTTAGTGTGCCCAGGAGCGGGGCCAGCACCACATGTGGTGCGGGGATCAAATCCTGGTCCCTGCGCTTGCCTAAGCAGGCTCTTAGTCTGCTGAGCTATTTCACTGGTCCTAACAAGGGAAAATCTTAAGGTTAACAGGAAAAAAACTGAAGAGCAGTATGTGTGGTTTGTATCACTTATGAAAGTTACAGAAACATGCAAAGCAATATTGCTGTATTTATGTATAAGGGGGTGGTAAAATGTTTATATTAAAATGATTACTACAATAAAAGTCACATTTCCAAGAGCGGTGCGATGTGTGTCTGAAGCAAGGGGAGTATTTTGAAGGAAAGTAATGGCAATATATCTTGCAATGTAACATATTTTTCTTTAAGGCAGGGTGTTATTTTGTAGTCCAGGCTGTCCTTGAACTCACTAGGTAGGCTGGGCTGGCCTCACACTTATGATCCTCCTGCCTCAGCCTCCCAAGTGCTGGGATTACAAATGTGTACCACCACGCTCAGCTTTTATACATTTTTCATTTGTTGGATCAAACATTCACTGCATTTAATGTTCATCCCTCTCTGGCCAGCTGGTTATGGAAATTTCTGCTAAAGAAAAACATGGTATTCACCAGGCCTGGCACCATGTCACATCTGGCTCCTCCCCAAAGTTAAAATGACCGCGAAAGGTAAATATTTTGAATTACTTCAGGACGCTGAAGCAGCTATCATAGTGCCATTAAAGACATTCATGAAAAAGGACTTCTAGCCGGAGAGATGGCTCAGTAGAATAAGCGCTTGCCTGGCAAGCGCCAGGGCCTGAGTTTAATCCCTGGTTCTGCAAAAAACAAACAAACAAACAAACAAACAAAAAACAACTTCTAGAACTGGTTAAGAAAGTGACAAGAGTCGTGGTGCACGCCTGTACTCCCCGCCTTGGGGAGGCTGAAAACAGGAGGATCACTACAAGATAGAGCTGCGTAGTGAGACCCTGTACCAAATACACACACACACACACACACACACACACACGCACACACACGCACACACACACGCACACACACACACACAGAGTGACAAAAATGATAGAATAAATGAGTCTCAGTTGAGGGAAGTATTTTGAGGGGGATCAATGGCAAGGTGTTGTTCACTGAAATAATGAAAAAATAAATATTCACCATATTTTTTCCATGCCATGTACACATAGAAAAACTGTACAAACATGATGTCAAGAACATGCATCAAATTCAAGAGGGCAGTTATTCTAGAGGAGTCAGAAGATTATCAGAGAGGATTATGGAGAACTTCTACTGTAACTATAAGGTTTTATTTGTTTTGAAAAATGAAGCAAATATGACAAAAGAGTATGACTTGTTAAGAAGGTGGCAGATACACAGGTACACAGGGATTTGTCAACCTTTTTTCTGTGAGCCAGCATCATCCCAAGAGCTAGGCCTGTGCATCTTTCTAATCCACCCAGCGTCCCTGTGGGATGGGAGTCACTATCACCTCCAGGGCGCTGACAAAGACACGGAGGTGAAGGAAGTTAAGACCTCCTGCTGGAGTCTGAAACCAGGCCGTCTGCTTCCAGAGCCTGTGCTTCGGACCAGGTAGGCTAGAGAACTAGAACTACTTACGTGGGAAAGAAACTAACTGACCAAGGTTACTACCGACTCGGTGAGTCGGATGTGCCTCCTCACAATTTGCAAGAAACGTCTCCGATGACACTGGCTCCCTCTACACAAGCAAGTCAAAGCAGGGCCGTGACTGTCCTTTTTATTTCCCTGGGGCTTTGCACAGTACCCAGCACATAATCAAACACAGGTAGGTGAAGAGCAC